CCGCAACCATAAAATTATTTTTTTAATATATTGTTTTTCATAAAATTATTTTTGTTGGTACTTCATAACTGTAATTTTGCTACTGCTATGAATTGGGCGACACCTGTGAAAGGGTCATTTGACACACACACACACCCCAAAGGGGTTGCGACCCACAGGTTGAGAACTGGATTGGATTAGAGACTTCGGGCAGGTCACTTGGTCTGTTTGGCTCTCAGTTTCTGCCTGCACAAAATAAGGTCCGTGAGGGTTAAATATGATCACAGGGAATGCCCTGGATGTGGTTTTCTTCCCTCTCTCGGATTCCTTTCCTCTTGGAAGCTACATGCTGTGATTTTGAGGTTTTAGATGCCTTCCCAACAACCCATTCAAGTGTTGACAGTGCCTGGGCATCACCCCAGTGCTCTCACCCTTTATGTGAAGCATTGCCCTGCAGACAGGTTCTTGATTACTGTCACTATCGCAATGTGTTGAAAGAGTTTCATTCTAATACTCATTCTCACAACACAGGTAGGGGTGAAGAAGGCTTGGTGCAGAGAGAAAGCAGGGTCCCTCAACTTCCATCTAGTTGGAAGTCGTTCCATTTCCTCCCTTTGCTAGGTCAGTGTGCTGGAGGCCCGTCCAAGGAAGCTCCCCCCTGGCTATGAGGACACTTACCAGCGGCGAAGATACGCTGAATCAGCATCATTTTCATAACCCTCTAAATGGCTGTGTGCCAGGCAACACCACTCCTTCCGTCTCCAAATGTGGCTGAGCAACCACTTACCAGCGACGTGGCCCTGGGCCAGTGTCTTAGCTTCTCTGTGCCTCATTGTCCCCAGCTGTAAATGGGCCCAGCCACAGTGACCTCCTGTAGGACTGCAGTGAGGAATACTTGCGTTGTTAGCTCATGGGAAGTGCTTACAGCCTAACCTGACATATGCTAAGCGTTTACTCCTGTTATCATGATCATTTTTGCCCTGTGCCAGGCCCTGTGCTGAGGGATGGGTGACCCAGAGATGAATCAGCCTTCCCTACCCTGGCTGAGTTCATCATCTACCAGCGGAGACAAACCCTGGGTATGGCAGACCCTCTGCTGAGCCTTGGGCAGAGGTCTGAGGTGAACAGGAACCGTGGCTCTACCTCGAAGAACAAGAGTCCGGTTCAAGGCAGATTGACTAAGGCTTAGGAGAGTGAGGTGCCAGAGCACAGGATGTGTGTGTGTGTGTGTGTGTGTGTGTGTGTGTGTGTGTGTCGCTGGGCTTCCTAAAATCCCAACTGTTTTCAAGATGGATCATGGCTCACTGACCTTTATGCCTTAGGATACACCATCCTCTCTGGACTTTCCAAATTCACCCTTAGCATCTTCTCCTGCTGGATCTTTCTCTGGTAAATCTTGGTCTGTTTCAGCCCCTGGACTCCAACAAGCTCCCTGGTAGACCTTGGAATTCCCTGAGGACAGGACTGTGACGTGCCCACCATGCTATCCCCGTGGTAGCACACCTCGGTGCTCAATTAGTATGTAAATGAGTCAGAAGGAAGGTGTTTCCATTACGGTATGTTTGGCCCCAGTCACCAAACACACACCCAGACTATAGAAGTTTAAACAAAAAGGGATCAATATTTGTCAAGTAGCAGGAAAGTAGGCAGTTGCCAGCCACGGCTCAGAAGCACAACATCTGCATTTGCTTTCGTTTTCCTCGTGGTCACAAGTTAGCCCCTGGCTCCTGCCATCCCATGCATGTTCCAGAAAGGAAGAGGAGGCGGATGATCAGAGCCAGAGCCAGCAGCCGCTCTTGACCAGGACAAGACAAAGCCTTCCCAGAGCCTCCCAACCAATTTCTTCTCCCTTCTCATTGGTCAACACTGGGTTACTTGGCCACCCCAACTGCAAGGGAGGCTGAGAAACAAAATTTGGCCTGGAAGAACAAAATGGCAGGGGTTTTGTTGTTGTTGTTGTTGTTGTTGTTAGCAAGAATGAAGGCTGAGGAAGTGGTGCGTGAAGGGAGTAGACAAGTGAGTGGCTATTGCCAGGACCACCCGGAGGGCTTCATGAAGGAGGAGGTGTTCCAACTGTACCTGGAGGGACAGATGCGATTTTTGTTTTAATAGATATTGTGAAATATTTATTTCTAATGACAAATAAATGACATTTTGTCTCAAAGCATGGTATAGCATGGGTAACAGTCTTTTTTATCATTTTATTGGGGGCTCACACAGCTCTTATCACAGTCCATACATACATCAATTGTGTAAAGTACATTTATACATTCATTGCCCTCATCATACTCAAAAAATTTGCTCTCCACCTAAGCCCCTGGCATCAGCTCCTCATTTTTGCCCCTCCCTCCCCGCTCCCCCTCCCTCATGCACCCTTGATAATTTATAAATTATTATTATTTTGTCATGTCTTACTATGTCCGACATATCCCTTCACCCACTTTTCTGTTGTCCGTCCCCCAGGGAGGAGGTTATATGTAGATCCTTGTAATCGGTTCCCCCTCTCTACCAGATCCTCCCTCCACCCTCCCGGTATCACCACTCTCACCACTGGTCCTGAAGGGATCATCCATCCTGGATTCCTTGTGTTTCCAGTTCCTATCTGTACCAGTGTACAGATAGATGCGGTTTTGATAACAAGAAAGAGTGGTCTTGGCAGAAGTCTGGAGGCCTCAAAATGTTCTGTGTGACCAGGACTGTTAAGGGGCCAAGAATGGCTAGACCAGGAAGGAGACAGGACAAGTGAGAGATCTCTCTTTGGTGAGCTTTGGGTATGTCCAGCACCGGTCTGCAACTCTATTTCACCCATTTGGCATTAAATATCTTCTCTCCTCTACCTGAAATCCTGTCCTAGATTTCAGCCAATGGACATGTACCGGGCACTGGCTACATAGAAAGAAACCATTTTCACAATAGTACTGTCTCTCAGAAGCTGTCACTGGAAGCCATTCATACCTTGATATCAACATGTTTAATTGTTGACTTCCTATTGCTTAGCTGAACTCCACCTGGAGAAATAGGAAAGCTAATTTTAGGGGGATAATCGAGCATGGGAGCTAGAGTCTGAGCATGAGCAAAGCAGGGGCAAGATGCAGGATGCTGGAGGACTATAGGGGGTCTGTGGAAGAGGAAACGCACCATCACTGAGCCCCTGCTAAGGCAGGCCCTGTCTTTCTGTTCCTTTGTTTGGAGGCACTGCCTACCCAGGTCACAAATGAGATAACAAGCACTTAGAGGGGGAAATGCACCTGCCTGACGTCCCTTGGGCATAGGTGGCAGAAGTGGGATTACAGCCCAATCAGTTTGACCTTAGAGCCCATGCTTTTTCCACTACATTAAACACAGTCTTGTTTAGCCTAGAGAGTCCCTACCTACAATCCCTATTCTGAAAATAATAATCACCTGAACTAGTATATATATACTCAACACCTGCTCTCCACCAACGTTCCTCAGGCTGTATCTACAGTAGCATGAAATCAATACTATGATTGTCCCCACTTTACAGATGTGAGAACTGAGGCACAGCAAGAGGTTAGGTAACTAGCCTAAACTCCCATGACTAGAAGTGGCAGAGACAAGACTCAAGCCCAGGTGGTCTGGCTCTAAGCACAGAGAAGGGTACCACCTTGCCAAAGTCTGAAAGTGGATCAAAAGTAGATCCTTAAGACCAGTGATTCTCAACTGGGAGTAGTTTTTGTCCATCTGGGGACATCTGGTAATATCTCCAAACATTGTGGGTTGTCACAGCTGTGGTTGTGTATGCTACGAGCATCTAGTGGGCTGAAGGCGGGAGTGTGGGGGTGTGCTAGGCATTCTATAATACACAGGATGGCAAGAAATTATCAGCCCCAAAGAGCAGTCGGGGGATTGGTGATTCAGTGGCAGAGTTTCCCCTTCCATGCTGGAGACCTGAGTTTGATTCCCAGCCAAAGCATCTCACGCTCAGCCTCCACCCATCTGTCAGTGTAGGCTTGCGTGCTACTCTGATGCTAAACAGGCTCCTGACTAAGATGAACTAGGAAGAAAGGCCTGACCATCTACTGCAGAAAAATCAATCAACGAAAACCCCGTGGATCACAATGGCTTGATCTCCAATCAGTCCTAGAGATGAGGCACTTTGTTCCATCGCGTGTGGGCTCACTACGAACCCTGGATTACCTCAATGACAGCTCACAGCAACAAAACATCAATAGTGCCGAGGATTAGAGCTTAACAGAGACTAGGAAGCCTACATCCTCTTGGATTTGAGGCCTTAGAAAACAGAGTAGGAAGTTATGAGACCTGCATACTTGGCTAAGCTGCTGTGAGACAGAGTCCCAGCACAAACCAGACAGTTTTCCCCTGTGCGTGGAGCAGTCCCGAGGCAGTGGAAGCCCCAGATGGGCAAAGGCTCTGTGTCTGAGGCCTACAAGGACCCAGGTTCCTTCTACCTTGTTGCTCAGCCCTCCTCTGGTCTGTCGATGTTGTTTGCATGGTTGGAGTTAGCTTACTACTACCCTGTTCCATTTAAGCATACAGGAAACAGGAAAGAGGGCAAACATAAGCTGACATATTGACCAATTTTTGAGAGGATATTTTAATAAACAACTTCAATATAAATATCACAATGCCATACTTTCTTTCTATTATCAGAGAGATGATCAATATTTGAATTTCTCTAATTGTATATTTCTTTTTCTGCAAATGATTTTTCTTGTCCTGTTGAGTATTGGTACTCTCTCTTTCTGAGTCTCTGAGTGGTGCAAACTATTAACACATTTGCCTGCTAATCAGAAGGTTTGAGGTTTGCGTCCACCCAGAGGTGTTTGGGAAAAAGGCGTGGTGACCCACTCCCTCAGTCCCAGTCTTTGGAAACACTACGTACAGTTCTCCTCTGCGCACATGGAGACTCCATGTGGGAGTCCTTCAGAATCAACTCAATGGCCATTGTTTCTGGGCTTTTTTCTTGTTCACCAAGCACTTTATATAGTATTAAAGAGATTAAGTTGTATCAACCACCTATTATTTCTGTTTCCCTCCAGGGAAGACCATGGAGACGACAGAATCCTCCTCCCAGGCGCGAGGTCACAATCGAATCCACAGAGAGACAGAAGATCTAGACTGTACGCTCCCCTCCCCCTCTGAGCAAACCCAAATGGGGGAGTGTTGGGGGCCCAGCAGGGAGTGGGGTCAGAAACGTTCTTGCTTAGCTAAAGTGGCACGATGACTCAGGTCCCAGCAGAAACCTCGAGGGAAATAGCGATTTTGCCCCCATGAAGATGCATCCATGTGTCGGTCCTGTCTGTTCCCAGCACTTTCCAGCTGTGAGGGCCTTCAGTTGCTCCTCAGATCTGAGGATGGTGCTGGAAGCTCAGCCTGACTCTATGGAGAGTTCCCAGAAGGTGGGAAGGGCCCCGTCTGGCTCCTGAATTAGGGAATGGGAAGAGTTAAGGCTTGGTCAGATCCCATCTGTAAACTTCCAAACCAAACTCACGGCCAAGGAGTCAACTCTGACTCATGCCAACCAGGGAATCCTAAATTGGCAGCTACTCTAGGTTACAGGGTCTTCGGGTAGGGCAAGAGCTTAGAGGGATTTTCACCCTGGGTCTGGGTCGAGTCCACCTTCCACGAATCCTGGATGTTTGGGAAGAGTACCCAAAGAGAACCTGGTCTCTCCTGGCTCCCCAAGTTCAAGTCAACCCCTGGGGAGAGGATAGCCCTTCACAGTCCCAGAGTTCACCTATGTGTGTCTCCCAGATGGAGAGATGGACTTCCACAAACAAGACCCGAAGAAAGACAAGTCTTCCTCCTCCTCCTCCTCCTCATCATCATCCTCATCATCTTCCTCCTCCTCCTCAGGTATAGCAATGATTTATTATTGTTGTAAGACCATAGCTAACAAACATTTACCAATTAAAGTTTTTCATGGGTATCATTTAATGATGTGACATTAATCACGTTGTACAACTCTCACCCAGAATCATTGCCAAATTTCCCATCACCATAAACAGAAATTTACTGATTCCTAAATAATGACTTCCTCTTTCCCTCCCCACTCCCTTTCTCTCCTGGTAAGCACTCATACAACTCTATTCAGGTATTGTATATCTATCTATCTGTACACACACACACACACAAAGGTGCTTCAAAAAGTTCATGAAAAAATTATTATCTTTTAATTCCATTTCCCAGGAGTTGTTTTGAAGTCTCCTCCTATATACGTTTGCATGTGTTTGTCGTTGTGAGGTGCTGACTCCTAGTGACCTCGTGTGACAGAGTAGAACTGCCCCTTATGCTGTTCTAGACTTTCTCTAAGCTTTAAGGGAGAAGATTGCCAGGTCTTTCTCCCGTGGAGCCACTGGGGAAGTTTGAACTGTCGTCCTTACCATTAGCAGCTGCTTGCTTAGCCATTGCCAGAGTGGTGTCCTGGCTAAGCGCTCAGTGGGGGTGTGTGTACACGTGAATATATGTTCCCTCAAAACATTCACTGCCATTGAGTCCATTCTGACACATAGGCACCCTAACTAGGGTTTGTGAGGCTGTAAATTATTATGGGAGCAGACAGCCTCATCTTTCTCCCTCAGTGGAGATGGTGGGTTCGAACTGTGGACCTGGCAGCGTGCAGTCCTGCACTTACCTGATAACATCACAGGGCATGCCTACATATGTGAACATACACACACACACACACACACACACACACACAGGTAAGTCCAAAAGTATTGTTGTAAAATCTTTGAAAGCTCTATTGAACAAAAACATCAAAACATGAAGCTATTATTCCTTAACACCTTCTCCATCCAAGTGTATAGATTCTGAAGGTGGTGTTCCAGCTCTCTAATTCTTACCCTAAAGAATTTTTTCGCTTCTAAATTTACACCATGTATTGGCTTTGGGGTCCAATGCGAAAAGAAATCTGAAGGGGCAGGATCGGAGGGTGGGCTTGATGGAGAATTCTTGTGGAACAGCCCTCACTACCCTCGAAGTATCAGCAGGTGCATCGTCTTGGTAGAAAAATGGCCTCAGCTCAATTGCTTGGCCTTTTTCTCATGGGTGCAGTCTTCAATATGCTTAACATATCATCAAACTGTTTGAAGACTAAGTCCCTGGGGTTACCCTGTGTCTTTAAAGAAAATCTATCAGGACTGTCACTGTGGAATACCCCCAAATCAGTCTCCATGACCTTCTTAGATGGTTTGAGGTCTTCCCTATCACCCTTAAAACGCTTGATCCATCTGTGTCTTAGATTCTAAGAACTGTTGTTTTATATGGCCTTACGTTTCTGTGACCTTGTTGCAAAACTGCAATGATTTGGGAAGATGGACACCTGAGTTTTGTCAAAATGTTGATATTAACTCTGACCTAAAAAATTGTTTTTCCCATAGCATGAAAAGTATCCTTTTAAAAAAAGATACCGTAAAAAATAAAAAAAAAGATACTGTAATGAGGCTAAGACAAGTATATTGCTGAGAGAATTTGTCTGTGGCCATCCACTAATGGCAGAGACACATTTAAACATAGAATAAACTCATGCACGTATGAACTTGAACCCTTACGTGTGTGTGTGTGTGTGTGTGTGTGTGTGTATGTGTGTTTCTGACTCATGGAAACCCTGTGGGCAGAGTAGAACTACCCCTGTGGGTTTTTGAGACGTTAAATCTGTACACAGTAGAAAGCTGGAGGTTGGTGGTTTTGAGCTACTGACTTTGCAATTAGCATCCCAACTCATAATGCGCTATGCCACCAGGGCTCCGCTATCCAGTATTATTCCAAAGTTTCCCCCCAAATTCTCTACCTTGATGCTTCAATTCTGTTTTTGTTTTTGTTTTCTCGTTCCCTTCTAGAGTCCAGCTACTGTACCCAGTCATCATTTTAGAACTGTATCCTCTGCTCGAAATGTTCCGTATTTTAGTGAGCATTGTGTTTGTTGTTTTGTAATATCCTTGTAGCTGCTTGTAATGTTTTCAGAGTAGCCCTCAAGTAGCTGTATCTCCTAAACCCTAACATTTAGATTTGTAGGGACACTCTAGTGCTGTGATCAATACATGGGGTCAACCAAGCAGACGTCCAAGGATCAAATCTACCTTTGCTGATAATGACCTGTGTGACCTTCGATAAATTGCTAACCGTCTCTTGTGCCTCTCTGTCCTCACCTTTCAAATGAGGATGATCACAAATGTTACTATTTCATAGGCTTATTGTGAGGGTAAGGATTTAGAACAGAACTTAGGACACAGTAAAATCTCTAAAAAGAACTATTATTATTAAGATTTCCCTCATTTCATGGTTCTTATGAGACTCCTTGTACAAAAGCTTTTCCCTATTTAATTT